CGAGCCTAGCCGGCTCACCACATACAAATATATTACTATTGCTCTGCCTTTGTAGTCCCACCCCTGGTTTCCAGACAACGTCAAAAGAAGCCACTTCCTGCATTTGGAATAGAATATTTGAATATTTGAAAAATGGTCTTTGGCCTCTACAGATGACCGCACAGTGTGTGTGTGTGTGTGTGTGTGTGTGTGTATCTCCAGTCATAAAATATTTCATTATGTTCCTAACCCACGATAATGAATTATGTGGAATTCATTATAATGAACGATAATGAATTCTGTGGAATTAACACAATGCACAAACCTGTTCTCCAAGGCACCCTGTCGGGGCGTGGCGGCTCAGTGGCTAAGATGCTGAGCTTGTCGATCAGAAAGGTCAACGGTTCGGCAGCTTGAATCCCTAGTGCCGCGTAATGGAGTGAGCTCCCGTTACTTGTCCCCAGCTCCTGCAGTTTGAAAGCATATAAAAATGCGAGTAGAAAAATAGGGACCACCTTTGGTGGGAAGGTAACAGCGTTTCGTGCACCTTTAGCCTTTAGTCATGCCGGCCACATGACCACGGAGACATCCTTAGACAACGCTGGCTCTTCGGCTTTGAAACGGCGATGAACACTGCCCCCTAGAGTTGGGAACGACTAGCACATATGTCTGAGGGAACCAAAGGCACCTCCATATAAGAACCCCTCTCTTCTGAGTTTTTTTTTTTTTTTTTTGGAGCACTACATTTAGGAAATGTGCATCCAAAGACTTTTGCTTGAATCCCTGCCTCATAGTCTCATTTTATTTCTTCAGAAACTGTCAAGTCCCACATAGCTGGAAAATAATTATGCTGTCTTCAATAATCTACCATGATGGTTTCATTTCAGTGTATTGACCGACCGGCTCCAGTCGAATTTAATGTTTATCTGGGTGTGAATACAGAATTTTGGAAACAGGGAGAGTTAATCTCTTACCCCTATGACAATGTGTTCATTAAGGTGACGGGACAGTCCCTTGTCTGAAATGGTATAGGATCTCTTGCTTGAGCAGGAGGCTGGACTAGAAGACCTCCAAGGTCCCTTCCAGCTCTATTCTGATTCTGAAGTGTGGCAAATTATTGAACAACATGAAACCGCAGAGATTTCTCAACTCTTGGACCAAGTTTCAGTCATGAGGTAAGTTGACAACGGGCTTGTCTGCTATCTCTTCGAGGTTTATGTCTAATCTTCCTTCCGTTCCTTTCTCAACCTTCCCCAATACAGAGTAAGAACACAGTTTCTCTTTAACATAATTTCTCTTTAAAATTTGTTCCAAGGCTTTGATAATAGCTGTACTCCATCCTCCACAGCCCGGTGCATGCTACAATTCCCATCACCAGCTGCTCAGAGTCGTGTTTTTTTTGTTTTTTTGTTTTGCAGCAAGAGGGTCGGCATACAAATTTAACAAATAAACAGATACAATTTCAGCAGGGGAAAAAAGGAGGAGGACCAGATCAGATTAGATTTTTCCACCTCTACTCCCCCCCTTCCACAGAAGCATGAACCAAAACTCCAATTTTCCCCAAGAAGTGAAGAAAGCGCCTTTGTCCTTTTAACAGTAACAGAGTTGAAAGGGACCTTGGAGGTCATCTAGTCCAACTGCATTACCAGAGACTAGAAAGTCACTTATCTGAAACTATATAGGACAGGTTCTCCTGCTTGAGTAGGGGGCTGGACTAGAAGACCTCCAAAGTGTTTTCCAGCTCTATTCTATTCTAATATACCGTTTCTCGTTCCCTACACACACACAAAAACCACTCTCTTCTCTTAAACTACATTGCCCAGAGTTCCCGAGATAAAGCGTCAAGGTGGCCTCTCCATGTGGCCAATCAGCGAGCGCGGAGGAAAGAACCTCCTGACGCTTCCCTCCTTGGATCACCCTCTAGGCCGCGCCCCTAGAGACCGGGCCACCAATGGCGGCGCGCGGAGGCTGCTTGGAGGCGGGGCCGAGGGAAGCGGGGCGAGGCCCGGCCGGCGGGGCGGGAGCTGCGGAGGAGCTGCGGGCGGAGACCCCGATGTCTCTGGGGTGCTGCGGAGGGAAGCCGGTGGGGCTGGTCGGCGGACGCACGGGAAGGCAAGGTGAGGTTGGAAGGCCCGCCTTCCTCAGACGCTCCAATGAAGCAGGCACCCGACCTTCCAGGCGCCCCCGGGGACTACAATTCCCATGGTCCCCAGCTTTCCCGGCAGATCTGGTGGGAAGGGTCGTACGAGCCTCGCCGGCTGGGAATGAAAAGACTTGCCTTGCCGGGAGATTCCAGCTGTCCCCAGTTGCATGCCTCTGTTGTCTGGGAAGCATGGGTTTTGTAGTCCTGGTGCATCCGGAAGGAGTGTCCCAGGTGTGTCCGTCTGGCTTCCTGCATTGCAGCCGTGCCTACTTCACCGGGGCTGCTGCATAGTTACTTCCAGTGAATGGGGAGGGAGGGAGGGAGGGATGCTGCAATTTTGGCACTTAAAAAAAAAGAGCCAAAAGAATGAGATGGAGAGATCTGAATTCAGATCCTGGGAAAAGTCCGTGGATGACTTGAACCAAGATTTACAGTATGTTCCCTGTTAGACTACGGTAGCTAGGCTGTTTCCTAAAATGCTGGGAATTGGGAGGGATAGGTGGTTTTAATTTATTACTATTATTATGGTCTATTGCATATTACCATTACTATTACTATTAATCTTCTCATCGTTCCTATCACCCATCTCCTCCCACTTATGACTGTCTGACTATAACTTTGTTGCTTGTATCCTTACAATTTATATTGATTGTTCCCTAGTATGATTTGATTGCTTATTTGCACCCTATGACTATCATTAAGTGATGCATCTTATGATTCGCGATGAATTTATCTTTTCTTTTATGTACACTGAGAGCGTATTCACCAAAGACAAATTCTTTGGGTGTCCAATCACACTTGACCAAGATTCTATTCTGTTCTATAGTCAGCCAGATGTTCAGACCGGATTTGGCGTTTCTGTGCACCTATGAAAGACCTGGGATGTTCAACAGAAAGTTGCAATTCAGCATCCCAGCAGAGATTTAGAGTGTTAACAGATTAACAGAGTTGGAAGGGACCTTGTAGGTCATCTAGTCCAACCCTCCCGCCCAAGCAGGAGACCCAACACCTAAACCATCCCTGACAAATGGCAGTCCAATCTCCCCTTGAAAGCCTCCAGTGATGAAGCTCCCACAACTTTCCAAGGCAACTTCTGTGCCATGGGTTGATTGCTCTCACTGTCAGAAAATTTATCCTCATTTCCAGGTTGAATCTCTCCTTGTTCAATTTCCATCCATTCTTCCTTGTCTGGCCTTCAGGTGCTTTGGAAAATAGCTGGACCCTTCCTCCTCTCTGTGGCAGCCCCTTAAATATTGGAAGACTGCTATCACGTCTCCCCTGGTCCTTCTCTTCACTAGACAAACCAGTTCCTGCAATCCTGCATCATATGTTGTTTGATATCTATGGAGATTCTCAATCATCCAGGTCATGGTTGTCCCAAAGGTGCTTTTTCAAGAGGCAACTGGACTTTCTGTTTTTCTTTTTCTTTGAAGACATTTTGCTTCTCATCCAAGAAGCTTCTTCAGCTTCTGGGATGAGAGAGCTGAAGAAGCTTCCTGGATGAGAAGCGAAACGTCTTCAAAGAAAAACCAGAAAGTCCACTTGCCTCTTGAAAAAGCACCTTTGGGACAGATGTTGTTTGATGATGTTAAAGGTATTGTCGCAGGATGTAAGCTGTTCTGTGTAAAGCTGCCTTTTTGCAATTGACTGATGGGGAATTTGCCAATGGCAGGGTGTTCAAGTGATGTATCTTCATCCGTGAATATATTTTATCATCATCATCATATTTGTGGATAGATCCGTGGCCGGTTTGTGGAGTTCCTGCTGGAGTAGCTTATCAATCTTATGCAAGGGTTAGGGTGAAGATTATATTGCTAAAGTCCTTTCTGTATATGGACATCCATTTTTCACTCTTGATACCTTCAGAAGGTCTATCTCACCTAGCTAACTACTGATTGTCTTGGTGAGATGGTGGGATCCAGAATGCAACACACATGGAGAACATCAAATTGGGCACTGCAGTGGTCAAATTCCTGACTGGCTAGGCAAGCATGCCTAAATTTTATTGCAGTGCTCCAAAAAAGCACATATATGCTAGCTAAGATGCTTTGTGGCCCACAGTATGGTTCAAAAGTACATGCAATATATCTCAGTTTTTAAAGATTTCTATTCTGTTTGTTTACTCCTGAATTCATTATCACAGTTAGCAGCCCTAATTTTCAAGCTGTACAAGACAGGTAGTCCTCAATGTATGAGCACAATTGAGCCCAACATTTATGTTGTTAAGTCAGAAATTTATTAGAGGGGTTTTGCCTAATTTTACAACTTTTCTCACCACATCCGTTAAGTGAATCACTGCAGTCCTTAAATGAGTAACACGGTTGTTAAATTAATCTGGCTTTCCCATCGACTTGGCTTCTCAGAAGGTCACAAAAAGGGTTCGTGTGACTTCGGGACACTGCAACCGTCATAAGTATGAGTCTTTTGCCAAGTACAGTTTCCAAAAACTCTTTCATATGGAGCATGTTGTAGTAATTTTATGTAGATATAATCTGACCAGAATGTCAAATTTGGTATCTTGACCCTTTTTTTTTTTTTTTGTGATGAGGTTTAAGAATGGGGGATAAAATTCTAAACAGTGTATAGTGTGCTGAACGCTGAAACTTTGGTATTCTTGGCATCAGACTTGGATAGTTACACCTGTTCCTATTTTAATCTGCGAAGAGAGCATGGCATGTCTCTGAAATCAGACTCCAAGGATGGGGAAGACTTTAATATTAAATGTGCTGGCCTTAAATCTTTGAACTCATTATCAGTATTAGGATAGACAAACATTTCTATGTAAGCCCAGAATTACCCTGCAGCAATACATTTTACAAGTAAATAAGTCTGGAACTTAGTTAATACAAAGGACAGTTAAGGAAAGTTTCTGATCGATCCTTCCTTCCTTCCTTCCTTCCTTCCTTCCTTCCTTCCTTCCTTCCTTCCTTCCTTCCTTTTCTCTTTCTCGCCTTCCTGCCTGCCAGCCTTCCTTCTTTTTCTCTCTCTCCTTCCTTCTTTCCTTCATTTTCTCCCTTCCTTCATTTTCTCTCTCTCTTTACCCTCCTTCCTTCCTTCCCTCCTTTTTTCTCTCTCCTTTCTTCCTTCTTTCCTTCCTTTTTTCTCTCTCTCCTTCCTTCCTTTTCTCTTTCTCACCCTCCTTCCTTCCTTCTCTCTCTCTCTCCTTTCTTCCTTCTTTCCTTCCTTCCTTCCTTTTCTCTTTCTTGCTTCCTGC